TCAGTGATTTTTCGACTGCTTGAGAGAACATGTAGACTGTAAAGTCTGCACTGCAGTGTGTGTCATGTCTGCTTTTCATCTTCCTTTTAAACCCACGGCCTCTTGTCTACCACAACCATCATAAGAACCTTCCAGACTACTGTTTTTCTACGCCCACTCACCTTTCCGCTCACCCTCTTCCTCTTTTTTTTTTTTCTCGTAGTTCCTTCTAGGGATGTCAGAAATGCAGGTACTTTGGTAAAAAGTCAATGATAAACTGCAGCAGACTCAATGTATTTATAGCTCAGTCTTACAGCTACTTTCAGATGCTCACATTCAAATGTTTTTGTGAAATAAATATGAATTAAATCATGAATAAAATATAAATACATATAAAAATCTAATAAACTAGTCAACCTGAACATACTTTGGGTATATATTTAATTTATTTATTTGTATATTTTTGTCATTTTTAGATGATTACTTGACATCAAACATCAAATACTTATTCATTTCTATATTTGTTCTGGTTTTGTTCTATTGCTTTTTATTTGAATATGTTTCCTGATATATAAATTTCCTGATAATTTACTCACCACCATGTCATCCAAGATGTTCATGTCTTTCTTTCTTCAGTCAAAAAGAAATTAAAGAAATTGAGGAAAACATTCCAGGATTTTTCTCAATATAGTGGACTCCAATGGGGACCAATGGGTTGAAGGTCCTAATTGCAGTTTCAATGCAGATTTGTATCTTTTTTATTTTGCATTTGTGGTTAAAAAGTATATAATTTTTTTTTATTTTAGAAAATGACTGATTGTTTCACTAGATAAGGCCCTTATTCCTCGGCTGGGGTCGTGTAGAGCCCTTTGAAGCTGCATTTAAAACTGCAGTTTGGGTCCCATTGAAGTCCACTATATGGAGAAAAATCCTGGAATGTTTTCCTCAAAAACCTTAATTTCTGAAGAAACCGAAGAAAGAAAGACAAGAATGTCATCTTGGATGACATGGGGGTGAGTAAATGATCAGGACATTTTTAATTTGGAAGTGAAGTAATCCTTTAATTGATAAATATGTAAAAGCTACATGCCTTTTTCATTAATAATTATATATTTATTTTGCTTTCTAAGTAAAGTGTTTTGTTCATTAGCATATTAGTTTTTGATGTGGTATCAAAATTGGCATCAAGAATCATGAAACCTCGACTACTGACATTTTGGTATCATGACACTCTCTGTTCCTCTCTCTGCTGATCAAGTTCAGCTTTTACACCTTTACTCAACATCTCTGCATCCCTAGAGGGAGAAAAGAGAGAGCGAGGGAGGTGAGGAACACAATGAGAGCCATTAGGTGATGAATCATTTTTTTTCAACACCTCCAGTGTGTTGACTAATGACTGCCGTGAGCACTAAAAAGGTCATGTTTTTGGATTCGGTCCATGAGTGTGTGTTTGTGTGTATTTCTGTGTGTTTACATGTGAGGGGGTGAATCTTTTATACGTTGTGTGTATTCTCTAAAGATTATTCTTTATTTAAGTCCGTTTTGGGTAAATGTAATATTTGGCTTTATTGTAAGAGGCTCTTTGGATGAAATCCAAGGGTTTCATCATTGTTCTTGATTTTAACATACATTTGTTGTAATGTTTTTGACCTTTTTGAGGTGAATTGCAAAGTTTTGTAATCCATGAATTTTAAAGAAGTTTTCTGGGTTTAATTCAAGTCGAGCTCCATGGACAGCACCTGTGTCGTGCTGTCGATTGCCACAGAAAATCATTGTGTTTTCAGTAGTGCACTTATAATGGAGGTCTGTGGAGCAAGGCAGTCTACCAGAATAGATTCAAATATTACAACAACAAAAAAATCTATTCAAAATACACTTTTTCAAAAGTATAGCCACAAGATTTGATCATTTCTATATGTTAAATGTTACTAACCTTACTAACGTTACTAACCTTGTCTGTTCAAAGTTACATTAATTTTTTTCACTCATGTATACTTGTATGCCCAATTATACCATAAAGACCACATAGACAAGAAGTACACTACCATTCAAAAGTTTAAGATCAGAAAGATGTTTTTAATAATTAATGCTTCTATTCATCACCGATGCATTCAATTCATCAAAAGTGACAGTTAAGGCATTCTAATGTAACAAAAGATTTCTATTCCCAATAAATGCTGTTATTTAGATTTCTATTCATCAAAGAATTCTGAACATGCACATAATGTTAAGCAGCTCTACTGTTTTTACCATTGATAATTAAGAGAAATATTTCTTGAGCTGCAAACCGGCATATACAAATGATTTCTGAAGGATCGTGTGACACTGAAGACTGGAGAAATGATGCTGAAAATTCAGCTTTGCATCACAGGAATAAATTACATTTTAAAATATATTCACATAGAAAACAGTTTTTTAAAAATGTAATAATAATTCACAATATTACTGTTGTTACTGTATTTTTGAGCAAACAAATGCAGCCTTGTTGAGCATAAGAAACATTTTTAAATATTTTACAGACCGTAACACAAAACAAGAGGTTCATCAGCCTCGCTTCATTTAAAAGGATTATTTAGATTCTTTATAGCTCAAATCAAACACATTTTTATAGAGAAGTTAGATTATAAGTATTAATATAAGTGCCTTGGGCTTTCATTGCAAGTGCATTGTCGTAAACACAATTCATTAATTTTTTTCTCTAATTGAATTTGGGTGGTAACTGAAAGCATGTCACGGATTCTGTCCATAGAGCTTAATTTGTATTGAATTCAGAAAATATCCTAAATCTGTGGCAAACATCATTGCACAAAAGTGCTTTGAACATAAACTTCAAATTCATTAGCCAACTGGCAAATGCGGAGCCCAGCCTCAGTTCCTTGTTATCAAGTTTCACATTAAAATAAATCTGTTACCCTCAAGCAGAAAAGCTATTGAATGTTTGCTGGCACCCCTCTTCGTCATGTGCTCCTCGGCCGTCTGCCGTAATGTTTTCCTAAGAACGTAATAATCGAGATATTTTGGATGGGAAAAAAAGTCTTTGTAACGTGAGCGCCGCGGATTAACTACGGTGTGTCATTCAGGGGTTCAATAAAATATTGAATGGATCGAATACAAAGTGTTTCTGCAATGAGGAATTCAATATCGTCCTCATGAACTGCCTTTATATTTGGAAAGGAAAATAAGTTTGAATATGAAGCTCTTTGTACCATGGGGATGGAGCTCGAACATTGTTTGAATGCAGTATTCAGTGCCTGGATGCCGAGTTATTCAGACTTACATGGATGAAGTACCAAGTTTTGCAGAGAGGCGCCTCACCTATGAAATATTTAGTAACGTGAAGGCTGGAAGATGCAATGACTGTGTGTTTCAGAGACTGTGTGTGTGTGTGCGCGCTGAGGGATGATTGTATACATGGTTAAAAGGCAACATAGTTGCGGTCGAGTCTCTTGTTATTCCTGAGAGACAGTTTCCTATACAAAGCAGCCTGGAGAGAGGCAAGTACTAAATAGGCAAGAAGTGCGCTGGCATACAGGAACACATCCTGTGTGGACGACCACCTCAGTCGCAATGACAAACTCAAAGAAATATGTTCATTGATATGGAAATATTGACCTCCAAAGCAACTTTTTGTGTTTGTCTGTTTAATGATTTACTGACACAATCTTCATTTTGGAGGTTTTTCTCTGCAAACATTGATATTTCATATAATTAATTGATTTTTAATTTATTTTCATTGATTCGATTAATTTATCAGCATTTAATGCAGTTCATTCAGTTAACATTTTTAATTAATTGGCAACCATATGGTTTACTTATATTTTGCAACAAAAGTGATAATGACTGAATAAAACTCATTTAAAATTTTACTTCATTAAACTGCCATTAATTTAAATTAATTAGAAAGTAAACAACTCAGTAAAAAAAGGGCATGACATTCATTACATGAAGTCATTTTTTCAACAAATGGTGAGTGAAAGCAGCACTGAGCCTTCAGAAGATGTTGATCGTCAGCTGCAGGAGGTCAAACTAAATATAACATGAGCTCTTTATTTTCTGTTCAACTTAGAAGATTTGTGAAGCTTCCAACCCTGTTACAAAAAATGGGACTACCCTGATTTGTGAGATTTTGTTTTGTATAATCGGGCATTAACCAATTATCAAAAACAAAGTTGTTTATAAAGGTTGAGCTTAATGAATGCACTCAAAATTAAGAAAATGGATTGAGTTTTTTTATTTCCCCTCATGCTGCAGAAGGGAATCAAATGATATTACTTCTAGGGTTTCGCGGGAAAGCCATGTGGTATTAGGATTGTGTGCGAAACATGGAAATCAGCTAAATGTTGCTTTTAGAATTTTTTTAATTACCAGTTTTAAAATTACATTTTAGTAAAAAAATTATGGAGTAGCTTTCAAAGAAAATTAGCTTGTGGTACAAGATTTTGAACTAACCATTTTACATCACAATTATGATACATTCATGATATAGTAATCCAGTCTGAAAAGCTACTTTGAAATAATGTGTATTGTTTAAAACACTGTACAAATAAACCTAACTTGACTTACTACAATGAAACAAATGTCACTTGAACAGATTATATCAAAACTTGTATCATTTTAATGGTTTGATAGATGAGACCTGCTAAAATTACAGTTTTGGGGGGGGGGGGGACAGAAATGTGATTTGTTTAAAAAGAACTCTACATTTCATGCTAGGTTAGGTTATATTAGTCTGTCAAGAATGTCTCATAGTTGTCACAACAAGAATATGGATTTGTGCCTCTGATAAATAATTAAAGAAGTAATGGGACACCAGTGTGTTCTGTATTCATAAAAATTGCCAGTTATGCTTGCTTTTCCTTTATATGAGTTAGTGGCTGCACATTGCTGTGAAGTAATGGAGAGTCATAAACCAGTGTTTTGTTGCTAAGCCACAGAGTTCCAGTGGGCCGTCGTTTCACACCAATGGAAATGCTGAAAAAACCTTGACATTGATATTATGTTTTTTCATCTTTTTTCCAAAGCTACCTCTGACGGTACAAAAGAAGGGATCGACAGCATGAGAGGAGGCGTTTGTGTGACGCGAGGGATGAAGCTGGTTCTCAAAGTGGGACAGAGTGAGTATCATCATCACCTCCAAAACCACATCAATTAATGAACCTAAGCACTCAAAAAACAATAAACATTGTGTCAATACAAGCAAACACTTGCTCCTGTTCATAATAGTGTTTTTATAGAACATATAAAATAGAGTATAACATATAATCACTTTTTTGCTTTCATAGCCGCATATGGCCTTCCCCCAAAACCCAAACCTGATCCAGGCCGTCCCAGCAACAGAATCCCAGGTACGAGTTAGAAATAATGCGGGACACTTTCACATTCGCTTATGAGCTTAACCCTGGTTTAACATCTGTTTTTTTTTAACCCTGGATTAAGGCCACTTTTAATCCTGCGTTAAGCAGCGTTTCACTTTTGTAATTTTGAAAAGATGTTAGCACTGCACCTGGATTATGAATCCTTGCCCTGGAAGAGGTACTAACCCAGAGTGAAACAGCAAAAATGTTTAGCAACAGACAGCCAATCTTGAACGAAATAATGGTTGCTTCATTAAATATTAATTTTTTTATTGTTTATTTTTATTGGCTTTTTTCCTTTACTGTATCGGACAGTGGACAGTTGACAGGAAAGTGGAGGGAGAGAGAAGGGAAATGGGTTAGGTACATGACCCAAGTCAGACTCAAACCTGGGTCCCTGTGAGCATAACAGTTCTGTATGTCATGAGTAGCACGCACCCATGAAATATTCAAGGACTTTTCCAGTTACACATTTTTTTACGCTGTTTTGTTTTAGTGCCTGAGGGAAACAGTTGAACGATACTTAATGGTTCTCTGCGTTATCCTTTTTTAATTTTTGTCTTTATTTTTGTAGTGTTTTAAAAGACTTGTGACAACTACAGCTACGATACGCGAATTGCGTGTTTGTAAATTAACTAAAACTAACTATTAAAAAGCCATTTTTGTTAATTGAAATTAAGTTGAAATAAAACATAAATATTAGATGAAAAATTTTTACTAAAAAATTACTAAATAACTAAACTATTACTAAAATAAAACAAATTTAATAATAAACTTCTCTAAATCTCTACTGAAATAATTTTGTATTAAAGCTAAATAAAATAAAAAGCATGTCAAAATGACCAAAACTGAAAATAATAAAAGCTTATTCAAAATAATAATAAATATTGCAACAGTATATAAATAACTAAAATAGCACTAAAATAGAATGTTAACCCAGGCTCAGAAAGATGCCAAGTAAACAATTTTTATTATGAAAATCCCAGTGGGGTCTTCTTTCAACTGCATTTACATATTAGCCATGATGCCATATGCATATGCATCTGTTGTCATGTTAACGCACTGTCTAGTGCGTTTTGTAATTTATTTATTTTTTCTTGGAGGCTTAGTCTGCACTGGTTGATCTCCATAAGGTAAACATTTGAGGAATTGGCAGTGTTAAAGCCAAATACGAGGCATATTTGAACTCAAGCCGGCTGAAATCAAAGCTAGTTATGGATTAAATCGAATCTAATCTAAATACTGTCAGGGTGTTTGTCGTAGAAGATAAAGCCAAAAAGCAAGTGAGCTTCAGAAGTCGGGTCGTTGATTTATCAGCTCTTTTCTGTTTCAGATACAGAAAGTGGCTCTAAAGCAGGTGATGAAGGTGAGGCCGGTGAGAGGGGAGACAGCGGGGCCGTGTCTGTCTCTAACATCGCCCTAATCGCCGGCGGTGCCGGGGGAGCCTTCATCCTCCTGATCGCTGTAGTGATCGCTGTCGTGTGTTACCGGCGACGGAAAGCCAAGCACTCCGAAACTCACCATCCTGCCCTTACGCTCTCCTCTCTTACCCCAAAGAGAGGCAGCTCCTGCGGGGCAGCTATGGGGGCCGGCGGGGGCAACAATATTGGCTCAGAGCCCAGTGATATCATCATTCCCCTGCGGACCTCTGACTCGGCGTACTGCCCCCATTACGAAAAAGTCAGCGGCGATTACGGACACCCCGTCTACATCGTTCAAGAGATGCCTCCTCAGAGTCCAGCCAATATTTATTACAAAGTATGAGATCAGCGAACACGCAGACAACCCATCCAGAACTGATGGTACCTCACACACATGTGCTGTGTGTCCAAGTGACTCTATATTTAAGAGCCTATACATGATACTAGAACTTGGATGTGAAGTTGAGTTCTAGGAAAGTGGTAAATCAAGCTTTTATGTCATAGCAGCGTGTTTGCATGTATTTACAAGTGTGTGTGTGTGTGTGTGTCTGAGGCGGGCGGATCACGGATTTCACATGTACTCAGGTGCAAGTGAATGTACGTCACACGCTTGTTGGAGATGAGTTTATACGTCCATTCTGATGGTTGAAATTGAGTTATTGTGCTTATCCTCAAAACCAAACAGTAGAGAGTGATGTAAAAAAAAGAATACATGTATAAATAATATAAGTACTTCTTACATTTTTACCCTCAGGGGGGAAATTCACTAAGAAAGTGCACTGGCTGATTGCATCGTTTATTTGCACATGCATTGTTTTAGTGGTCCATTCACTAACAAAAAAAACGTGCCCAAAAGATCAAAACACCATCTTCACGCCCCAATTCGCCACCTGCGGACTGGCGCAATCTGGCGTACTTTACTGGGACTGTACAGTATCGCTAAGATCCAGAAAATGGACTGACACTTTAAAATGCCAAAAACGGTTTTGACTAGATATGTTTCCATTTCAAAAGCTTTTTTCATTATTTGATCATCATTTGATGAATTAACGCTTCCATTGTCACTAGACATTTTACACAATCATCTTTTTTAAATATTAGCTCAATTGCGTCTTTTTAGGCGGTTTTGAATACCGGATGTCTTTTGACAGAATCTGATGAAGACACCGAATTCAATATTCCTTGCGCTTTGGAACAATCTAAAATTTTTAGTGTAGTTGGCAGAATCAAGCTTAGTTGGATCTATTATAGAATGTTTGTGCATTCTAAAATGACTAATTTGCATAGAAAGGAGGCGTGTTTGCGCGGAAAACGAAAAAAAAATATTGAATAGTTCACTGAAATTTTTTTAACACTATTCCATCGCAAAAAGCACTTGTTAAACTGGATTGCGTGTGGCTAGTGAATGAGACACCGAGTGTACCAGGCGTAAAAATAGCGCAACTGTTTAGTGAATTCGCCCCTCTTTATTTTGTTTTTCTAAGTTCATCTGATTGTAAATGTTTGTCTTTTCTGAACTCGGACCTCCATCTGATTTATTTATTAAGCATCAAAGAAACAGTTTCCATTCCTTCCACTTCATCAGCTTCCTATTGCAGCTCCTCAGCAACCGGTTGTTTGTTTTTGAGGTTTTTTTAAACATTTTTATGTGAGCAGCAGGAATCACATGTGGAGGAGGTGTAGACGGATGATCAACTGTTTCAGATGGAGACTCTTCTGAGATTTCCAAGAGGTTGGAGGTCAAAGTTAAGCGGTCAAAGAAAAGCCCCTCAGCGGTGCGCGGGAGTCTCTCTGCCCGGCCTTTTGAAGTACTGTGTATGCCATGATAAACTGCTCACTTACCCTAGACGCACAATGCCAAACTTATACACACTTAACACGCACATCCACATTACAGCAGTTTGTGTTTTCATGTGTTAACCCCCGCAGAGGGACTCCAGCTGTGCGTTGGTGTGTTGCTCAGAGCATTGTGGTTCAGGCCGAAGACAGTAGGACTAAGACAGCCAATGCGACTGTGCATCTAAATTAACTCAATCACAAACTCTCCACATCCTCTTGTGTGTTACACATATCCGTTGCTTGGTTACAATCTCGTCTCGACTCTCATTATCACATTTCGGGCGATGTCTCCAAACCATCTCTGACATTATCACCCTGTGCCAGCTTGAGGCTTCAGGTCCACAGTTCACCGGAGTTATTTCACTGGATGAGACATGACATCATCGTGAGATGTAAGAAGAGACAGGATGTTACCGGCCGGAGTGACCTGAGCTTTCTGGTTCAGACTTCTCTCTGCCCACGTTGATTTAAGGATTTCTTGCCGTCATTACCACAAATGACTAACAACCAGAAATGGCACATTTATCATTTTACTTATTTCTGTTAATGTATTTTTTATGTTTTTGTTCTTCCCATTTCATTACTTTCGACAGTGTTAATTAGTTTGTAGATTGAGCAAATGAGAGTAATCTAAATGAAGGAAAACAAATTCAGTTTTATCCAACCTACCCTGCTTGTGTCCGTGGTAACCCTCGATGCTAACTAGCGTTGGGAACTGCAAGGAATTATCAATTGTGGTTCTGATTCCCCTTAGCGGCTCCAGTGACTATTCTTTCAGGACCTCTGAATAAAGACATTTGGGGGGGGGGGGTTTAAT